GGAGAACGTCTACACGAGCACTGGCCGCATCCCGTTGCCGTGACACACGACGGGCACCGCATCCGCTACCCTGACCCCCGCACCCACCGTGGCGACACCTTGGTGTACAACGTGAAGGAGAAAAAGGTAACGGACCTCATCAAGACCGGCAACGGCAAAGTGGTGATGGTGACTGGCGGGGCTAACCGCGGCCGTATTGGAGAGATCATGTCGATTGAGCGCCACCCTGGTGCGTTTGACATTGCGCGCTTGAAGGATGCTGCCGGCCACGAGTTTGCTACTCGGGCGTCCAACATTTTTGTGATTGGCAAGGACATGCAGAGCGTTCCCGTGACGCTGCCGAAGCAGCAGGGTCTCCGTATCAACGTGATTCAGGAGCGCGAGGAGAAACTGATCGCTGCTGAGGCACGCAAGAACATGCAGGCTCGAGGCACCCGCAAGACACGCAAGTAGGTGTGGAGCAACTCTTCTTTTGATTTTTGTTTTGTCTATTTTTGTGTTTCATTTTTACTAACTTTTTGTTTCCTGGGTTCAAGATTAATTTGTTTATTAGCGGTCTTCCTTGATGTCCCCTTATGCTCACGTTGAAACTTGCAGCACATATATGTGTTGTTTTTCTTGTTGTTTTGCCCTGGGAAATACCTCCCGAACTTGGTACTGACAAAAAGACGTACGCTGTAAGTGTTGACAGGTAGGGATTTTTTTTTGCCGCACAACCAGACATCAAGAAGCTTATACTTTGCTCTTCCTGGCTTTGTAGTTTGCGAATTTTCGTGTTTCTGGCCCGTTTGATGATGATGCTCGGTTTTTCAACTTTGGCTGAATTCTACGTCTATGTGACGTGCATTCTTTTGGGCATCTCTATGCTGATGCCAATGAATGCCGTGACATCGGCACCACGGTACATGGTGGATTACTACCGTTATGTAACTGGGAACCCCAACGCCAAACCCAACTCGCCAGTGTTTTGGGCTAATATTTTCACCTTTTACAATGTTGTGTCGTTGGTGACGCAGATTATATTCGGGCCCACCGTGCTGACCCGTTTGGCGAGGAGGCTTTCTATCAGCAACCGCTTCATTTTTGCGCTCACATCTATGATGTTGGAGGTTCTCGTTATTCTGCTGCTGCCGATGGGAAAAATATCCCAGGATTCCGCCATTGTCGCGTTTGTGATTGTCTCGGTTGTGGCGGGTGCAGGTAAGTCATACCTGGAGGCAACGTGCTACGTGTTGGCCGGAACCATGCCTCCAAAGTTCATGTCAGCGGTCATGTTTGGTTGTGGATTCTCGGGACTGATTGCGTCCGCGATGCAGTCTATCATTAAGGCATCCATGGCAAACACGTATGAGTCGGCACTCACGCAGGCGTACATTTATTTCTCACTTGCGCTGGGAATTATGCTCATCGCGCTCCTTATGGCACTGTCACTGCGGTACAACTCCTTTGCGCAGACGTACGTTGCTGAGTACCGCATGCTGAAACGCGCCCAGTGCGAGGAAAGGCAGAGTGAAGGGGTTCTTGATGGATGCAACTTGGAAGAAATGGAGAACAGGGGTAATGGTACTGCCGAAAATAATGAGCCAATCGCCCAAAAGGAGTCCGTTGAGGTCACCGAGACCGCAGCGGCTGTTGCCGAGGATGGTATGACAACCGCGGAGCAGCTTTTGGCAACACCTGTGCTCCCAGTGATAAAGAAGATTTACCCAATGCAGATTGCGTGCTTTTGCTCCTTCTTTTTAGCACTCCTGATCTTCCCCAGCTTTGTGATTCCTATTGACCGTGCCGACGAATGGTTCGCTACGATCGCCATTCTTTGTTACAACGGTGGCGATGCCCTTGGCCGGTTCTTGACGTCCTTCAAGGTGTTTTGGCCTTCTCGTCGTTTCACGCTGTACGCTACCTTCGTCCGTTTCCTGTTTCTCCCACTGATCTTTCTGTGCATCTATCACTACATTCCTGGCCATGTTGCGCCGTGCCTTTTCATGTTCTTTATTGGTCTGACGAACTTCTTTGGTGCACTAACGATGGTCTACGGCCCCGGTGCACCGGAGCTGAAGACGGATGGGGAGAGGGTGATGGCTGGGCAGCTTATGGGAATTGCGTTGCTGGGAGGTGCATCTTTTGCGTCCCTCGTTGCCATCGCTGTGGTGGTCTTCCTGCCTTAGGATTATACACGTGGTAGTGAACATAAATCCTTACGCTCTCTCTTCGGCGCGACCACCCTGAAGGGATGAAGCGGACGCTGGGAGGTGTTCATGGAAGAGAACGTAAGGGAATAGCACGGGGCAGGAGCCATATTTTACATGTCCATAAAAGGATAGGCATGTGGTGTGGGGGATATACAATGGAAAGGGAAAAAACAGCAGACACTTTTTCTTTCCACCTGCATTGCCCCACACACATCAGTGTTTATATATATATACAAAGATATATATATATATATGTATGTATGTATGTATGTGTGTGTGCATTGATGTCTGGCCTTCTGTTTATAGTGGATAGGAAGTGGGCCTGACTTTGTTGGTCCCGTGCGGACAAATCTGCGCGCGTCGACTCTAAATGGCCACCGAACACGTCTCACTGAGTGCTAATATCAACACTAAGTAGTAATCATTCCTGTCTCCAAGAAATAATAATAATAAACAGTAAAAAAGATGAGCATAAAGAAGAAGTATATATATATATATTTCTCTACATTCCCTTTTTTGTTTTGCCCGTAAACGTTGAAAGTTTTTTTCTTTTTTTTTCTTTGTTTCTTTCGTGGACTTATTTTTGTTTTTGTGCGTCGTTTTAGGTTCGCGATGCTACATTCTTCCCCAGTTTTTTTTTTGTCTCTGTTCTTTTTTTGGGGGGGTTGCTGTGTTGGTTCTTACTCCCGTTCTTTTCCTTGCTGCCTCCTCCCCCCTCTGGCGTGTGCCTTCTGTGCACACAACAGGGGGCGAGTGTGGACGGCAGAATAAGAAGGAGGGGCGAAACTGGGGCACGAGAAGGAAGAGGGAGGAGAAAAAGGGCCGGCGGCGGGCATTGCGGACAGCAATCCCTGTGGCGTTTTTTTTTTTT